TCCGTTACCAACGTAGGAACCTAATAAATATACATTTATTATACATTATTGTAAGCCTGATCTCATCATTATTGACTGCACAGTTGGCGCAGTAGTTGGGCGACTGGCTGTCGCGCAACGTGTCGCGGGTTCGATTCCCGCACGGAGCAACTCTTTGAGCAATTCACAAATTCTTGTTTCGGGTCTGAGTGTCATGAGTGTGTGAGTTTGTATGTTTGTAAACGCACCTACGACACTGGAGAAAATTCTAGTGTGGGGCAACGTTTGAAAAAAATCTCTGATAAACTTGAAAGTCGAATAGTGGTTGATGCACCTGAGGCATCTCTACCGGCCCCTTAGGTATAATACATATTTCTATGACCAGGCCTTTTACTAAATAACAGGCAAAAATCTCTGTGTATATTATATCCTACTGCTTATGTAAATAAGTGCCAATTTCGAATGCAAAATAGACATAAGTACACACTTTGCACATTGATCGAGAGTTCATACAAAATTCATATCTGAGAGTAAAGGTCTCTGCACACGGCGGGCGCGGCGCGGCTGGACGGGACGACGACGCGACACTGAGCAGTTGTAATGTACAAGATAATTATTACGGACGAAGCCACACAGAGCTGTCGGTTACCGTCGCGTCGAGCGGGACGGTTCTGTGTGGCGTATCTCCAAATACAGAGCCGTCGGTTACCGTCGTGTCGAGCGGGACGGCTCCGTCGTCCGTAATATCTAGTGCATTACTATTGCCAGGGGCGTGCACAGAGATTTGAAGTAGGGTAGGCAGAAGGCATGATTTAAAAAAATTTGGTCTACAACTCCCGAAACATCATAATTTTGAGTAGGTAATTAGGTTTAGTAAGTATTTTATTAATTTGTATAAACAAATTAGGTATATAATTATTTTCAAACTATCCGTGTATAAAGTTGATCAACATAAATACCTAGGTATCTATTTTACAAATCTAACTAGGTACCTACTTTGGAGCGGCGAAGTACAAATGGCTACACATCAAGCTATGCGACACCAGTATAAAGTGACCGTTAAATGCATAGAGAAATCGTACAAAGCGAGATCAAGATGACTGGATTTTAAAAACAATAATGAAATTGGTACACAACCAGTGCTAACAAACTATACCTACAATCGCAAATCGTAGTTTATTAAAAGAAATAATAAAATTATTACCTTTTTTGAGTTACGCCTAGCCCGGACATACGACACACGCAAAATCGCCTTTGGAAATATTTTCGTTTCTTCTTCGAACGACAATAAGGACAACGCACTCATATTTAATTTATTGAACAACACAAATCACCAGCACAGAGCTCACAGCTATAATTTTACATAATTTTCGGTAAATTAACAGTTCATTTAAATTATAATTCATTACATTACAATTTATTCACTTGCACATAAAAACATAACCAAAACAAAATGGCCAAAAAAAACGTAAACAATAAGTTGACCAAAATTAATATATCTATTTTCAATCAACAAACGCTACGTTTTGTTGACTTCTTAAATTAGTCGGATAACGAAGAAGCAGTGCTTTTGCAGTTGTATAGAAATTACCAACCTAACAAAAAAAAAATCCAACATCAGCACGAGAAAACAAGCAAATTGTACCGGCTACGCATTAGTACATGCTTCCGCCACCATCACACAATAGCGAGGTGGCGGCGCCACTGGCGCAATGCTTCAATATATCGAAGAAAGTAGAAAGTGGTTGTAGTACTTCAATATTTTTTCGATAGATGGCGTTAGTGACCAGTTTTTCAAATTAAGTATCAATAAAATTACGAAATCTCTGTATGATGTCAGTAAATATTCATGTCGTGTTTATGAGTGACACTATGTATTTGACTATGTAGGTTTACCATGATTTTGTAGGGTATGCAGTGCTTATTTGCATGTATGGTGTGCACGCCACTGACTATTGCTCAGTGTCGCGTCGCCGTCCCGTCCCACCGCGCCGCGCCCACCGTGTGCAGAGACCTTTACTTTGATTTTCTAACTTTACTTTGATTTCCAAAGTGGGACGCAAACATCTAATTATGTTTTGATGTGTAGCTACATAATTTTTAGTAGAACTTAAAGGTAAATAGAAACACACACATAATAATACAGCCATATCTTGGCCATGTAAAGGGGAGCAGTTTTTAACAAAGCGTCTTGTCTTTTTATCTTCGATGGGGTATAACATAATATCACGCGACACCTTGCCTAGCAGTCGCACTTGTAAACACTCTGCCAACGAGGTGCATTACGTTCCAGTAATAATAATGGCAGTTGTACTTACTTGTGACCAATAGACCTAGCAACGAACAAGACAGTTACTTAACTACTACTATAGTATTTTAAATATTACTAAAAAGTATCTTCAAGAAATCTATCAGGAACTGAAAATTTCTGTTAATATTCTATTTCAAAAGAAAACAGGTACTTTATTAATTTAGTCTCTAAAACATCTCAATTTTGCTAAATTCCCCGTAGACGAAAATAAACTAAGTGAAATCGAATGATTTAACTAAATAATTTGCCTAACTTTTGGCTCGGATAAATACCTTGTTTTTCTTAGGAAATTTATTAAATGCAATTTGGGTGAGTCTAAAATTATTTATAAATAGTGAGCCTAAATGAATTAGAATATAAAATAATACATTTAGATTAAATGATAACAGCTTTGTAAAAAAAGTAGTTTAGCTATATCTTCTAACTGTTCTGTACTTTTAGCCAAACGCCACTTTAGCGCTTGTCTACCGAGAGAGTAGAAAACTAAATGTATGGGGATGACCACAACGTCAAAATTTACATCAATTCCACATAATTTGGATTTCTGTTCTACAAGTTTTTAGTTTGGGAGAGCCATGCTTCGGCATGAATGGGTGGGCTCGACCGGAGTGATACCACGGCCTCACAGAAGACCGACGTGAAACAACGTTGTGTTGTGTTTCGTCGCGTGAGTGAGGTTACCGTAAGCCCAATTACCCCCCCCCTCCCTTTCCCCAATCCCTGAATCCCCAACAATCCTCAAATTCCTGATTCCAAAACCGGTTACGCACTTGCAACGCCTTTGGTGTTCCAGATGTGCAGGGCGACGCCGGCGCCGATTGCTTACCATTAGGGGATCCGTCTGCTCATTTACCGGCTTATACCATAAAAACCCATTTAAAACATAAATCCAGACAATTGTATTCTAGAAATGGGTGAACCAACCAGGGAACCAAAATCAAGACAGCTTTTATAAGACAGAAATTTCTAATTCATGTAAAGAAGTAATAGAAAACATTTTCACATAATTTTCCCGTTTCCTGGTTACCCGAAACTGTTCAAATGAAGGAAAAAGATAAATGAAAATTCTGTAGATTTTTTTAAATAATTCTCTTAAGTACGGAGTCAACAGGACTAAAACGTAAGTCAAGTCAAGTCAAGTCAAGTCAAAATCATTTATTTCAATTAGGCCAGTAAGGCACTTTTGAACGTCAAAACAAAATATTTAAATACTAAATAATAAGAAAAGAAAATGTGTCAGTCTGTAAGTCAGTCCTCTAGTGAAGCTATTTGCTCGTTCCAAAGTGTAGATTCCTATGGAGAAGAACGAGCAAGAAACTCCATAGGTTACTCTTTTTCAATCATGTTCACAATACAATTTTTGGTTACATTCTTCCGTTGAGTTCAATAATGTGAGAACAATGTAATACCAATATTTGGTCAAGGAGACGGAAAAAGAAAATAACCTTGAGGACAACAAATTTAATACAGTCTGGAGCTGACCAGTCCCATTTGACAGCGCCCGTTCACGAACATGACACGTACACCAGCACCGCCCAACTCGACCATGTTATAGGGAATCGAGCGATCCACTGCCCGTGCCACTGCCAATGAGACTTTTGAGTGAGCATGACAACTCCAGGCTGACACACATGCATTCTACTAGTCTAATTTAATTTAGGTAGTTACAGGGCTCTCACATTTACAATAGTTACCTATATAAAGTTTTACAGTGTGTACATTTGAACAAAATGGCTGTATTTGACATGATTGGAACTCATTGGAACATCAATGTTTTTCGCTATCCTGTGGAGCCGGACCAGCATGCCTCCAAGCATTTTTATCCTCTATGTAATCATTAAGTTTGTAGTATGCTTTTCCGCATAACGTTTTTTTAATATATAATTTAAATTTTGACTCATTTAAATGTTGTATTTCCTCCGGAATTTTATTATAGCATTTAACACAGAATCCCATAAAAGACTTTTGTACTTTTGTCAATCTAAATAGTGGTTGACTTAGTCTATCCCTATGTCTGGTTTGATAGTGGTGTCCGTCAGACACTTTACCAAACAACTGTAGGTTCTTCCTAACATACATAATGTTTTCATAAATAAATTGACATGGAACGGTCATAATGTTGATCTCCTTGAAGTATATAGATAATTAATTAACTTTTGGGTACAGGCCAAAGCCGCCGGGATATAACATTTGTCATTAACATCGTTTACATTTACTGCGTTTCCCGAATTTTCATAACATTTTTATAACAATTCCAGTTTTTTTTCTATTTGATTGTAATGTGTTATAAATATCATGATTAAAATTACATAATAATACTGGCCCTACAAGGGTATATAATGGATTAGATGATAATATTGCTTTTCATTTATTTAAATACCTTTTCTTCTATTACAGGGGTGAAATAAGACTTTATCATCATAAATAGGACAAAACTTAGTGTTAATTTAATGCTTTTCCTGATAAAAATAAACTGTTATAATATTAACTAAGAGTAATCAATCGCTTCACCATTAGACGGAGAGCAAACGCGAGTCCCCGCTAAAATAACTAGACCCACCGGTTTCTCTACGCGTCAGTGCAGTCATTAATTAAAAAAAACAAAGTCATTATAAGCGAAAACAATGAAGATAATAATTGAGATTATTCAATTTACATAACCATTATGAACAAAGTTATCTTATTTAGTATTTTTTGTAATTTTAAACAAGGCAGCCGTGTTCTAGCAGACGTCATGTCTTTTAAAAATAAAGTTGTTATAGTAACCGGGTCTGGGTCTGGTATGGGAGCAGCAACAGCGCTGCTCTTTGCTGAAGAAGGAGCTCACGTTGTAATAGTAGATTTCAGTGAAGAAAGAGCTAATAATACTGCAGAAGAATGTAAAAAACATGGAAACAAAGTCTTTGTCATTATTGCCGACGTCTCCAAAAAAGAAGACGATGAGAGAATAATTAATAACGCTATCGATGAGTTTGGAAGAATTGACGTTTTAGTAAACAACGCTGGAACTGGGAAGGTAGGACGAATCATGGACGGAACCATTATAGAAACATTCGATGAAGTAATGAATACCAATCTCAGAGCTGTGGTGGTATTAACAAGCCTGGCTGCTCCTCATTTGGCGAAAACCAAAGGCTGCGTGGTAAATACCTCAAGTATATTCAGCACCGCATTAAGACATGGAATCATTTTCCCATCTTACTGTGCTTCTAAAGCAGGAGTTGATACTTTTACTCGTGTAGCTGCCTTGGAGCTTGCTTCATCAGGAGTGAGGGTCAATGCCGTCAACCCTGGACCGGTTTACACAAATCTCCTCATCCATAATGGACTACCTGGCACTTGGGAAGAATATGCACAATTTACTGCTTTAAAGAAAGGTTCAGATCCCAAAGAGGTTGGTAATCTCATTTTGTATTTGGCCAGTGATAAGGCTAAGAGTATTACCGGTGTTTGCTATGAAATTGATAATGGAATGAACCTTGTGTAGGACAGGACGTTAATGATTATCTATTGTTTGTTCATATTTTATTGTTGTTTTGTTAACTGTCTATAGTATGATAACATTTATTATGTGCAATATTTCTTGACTTTGGGAATGGGTTAAGCTAGATTTTGTTAATGTTAGTTTTATTATGGTTTCGTTTCATCTACTTATTAGGTTTATGGGTGTTGTATATTTGAAATTAATCAATAAAAGTTACAGCAAGGTGTTGTATTGATTTATATTCCTTTTTAAGTAGAGTACTAAAATAGCGTTATTGGTTTTAACTTAAGACCTAAGTTTAAGCTGATTTTATAGTTCAATGGACAGCAGAACTTTGACTGTTCGAACTATTAGGTGAGAAGCAAGGCTGTACTACTATAATAAGCTTAAAGTAGTTCACTTCGGGCAGGATTCCTTTAGAAATTGACTTGGCACCTATTTATAAAGGGTATTAGGAATGTTTTATGTACTCCTTTTATTAGAAAACGGGTTTATAGACATACGTAACATATACCAGGCGTGTTTGGAGACATTATATTATAATGTTATAAGTTTAAAAAAATAATAATGGTACGACCTAGATATGAACATGACTCCAATGAACTTGGATAACACCAAGGACTTTTGCTGACCAGTCATAGGTACTTACGTTCATACGAAGATTGGCGCAATTAGATACTTATGTTGTAAGCAACTCTTTGTTAACAATTTATGTACTTTAACCTATTTTGGGATTTGTAATTACGCACGAAGCGCGGCAAGAATAATGGTGGTTATATATTTTTTTAAATGTTATAATGTTTGAATTGTAACCCCGTCCACGCCTCGCTCGAGCGGACTCCGCGCTCGCTCCAACAGTCGCCACTATTAAAAATATGTATTATCTATGGTCGCCACCGAAACGTATAGCGAGTGAGCGTGTTAAAAATGCTCAGATTTCCCGCCCAGTTTCTCAGATTCTTAAATTCATTGTGAACAACATCCAGCCCTATTCTGCTACAAACGTGGTTACATTAAACTATAATACTCATGTAGGCACACAAATAAACATGAAATCAGTTAAACTGTTTCAGAGTTGGACAAAGTACGGCTTAATTGTCCTTATTAATTAATTACCCAAGGGTAATCCGAGGGTATTCAGTGACATAAATTGTTTAAGTGGTCTTAATGTCATTCATTGTTTGTTTGTTTTTGTTTATTGTCGACACTGACTTTCACTTCGCAATTTAGACTTTAGTCCTTTGACATACAGATGCTATGCAATGGAGATTACTTTTGATTTGCGTGCCATATAATTTATTGTTCGTTTATTTATTGATTAAGATTATCGCATTGAAACTTCATATTTATTAATCGATTAGATTTTAATGGCTTAAATAAATACTTATTTAGACCGTTAGTAGAACAATGGTATTATTATTTTTGAACAGAAAAACTGTGGCATATTTTCTAATATTTCTTATCATGTTAGTGAAATGTGCATTGGATGCAAGAACTTTGAATCTTATTTTAATTAGGATAAAAGTTTGTATTATTTTATCATTAACTCTCGCAAAATTTCATGGAAGCTAATATCATCTTTATTATCAACTTCGTAGAGTCAATAATTCTGTATCCAACATACATTTAAAATTTCAATTACCTTATTTAAATAAAGAACTTAAATTAATAACTACAAATTGTAAACAAATCGGCCACAAACAAAACCTTCGAATGCGTTCGATTGAATTCAAATTTCGAATTCTGGAACCGCAATTTCCTTATAAATTTCCTAAATAGAACAATTGTATCTTTACTTATTAATATATTTTACCTATCGGATTAACATTGTAATAATATGGGTTATGATCACCTGAAATAAATGTATTTTATTTTATTTTTTTATTTTTTTTATTTAATTTGATATCGGCACGTTCGTGTTATGGCGAATTTACCACAATTGATGCGTTCACTTACCGTGAATCCGATACCGACGGTTGCTGAGAAGTTGCCAGCTTGAAATTTTCCAGTCTCGAACTGCACTAACAAAGAGGTTTTACCCACTCCACTGTCACCCAACAGGATCGTCTGTGAATAGAAAGCGAGTGATAATTGTTTTGGAGTCGAGTTCGTATAATTGGTGGGAGATGCATCTCGGTTGGACGCTGAGAGGGTTTTAATGAAAATTGATGGCTGGCACCCTGTGTCTGTATTGGATTGGATGGAGCTATATTTGTTCCCTGCAAATTCTATGCTGATTTTAAATTAAGAAACTCCTTTTTGTTTTATGACAAAATATAAAAAAAGCTTGATATGACTGCCTCATTGGCCGAGTGGTCGCAAGTGCGACTGCCGGGCAAGGGGTCTCGGGTTCGATTCCCGGGTCGGGCAAAGTATTACTGGGTTTTTCTCAGTGGTAGCACGGAGTCTGGAACTGTGCCCGGTATATGGCTCACCGCCTATTACATGGGACTCATAACATAAATCGTGAAAAGTGGGTGTTACATTACAGTGGCATTAAGTGCCGTAATGTGCACCTCTGCCTACCCTTTCGGGGATAAAAGGCGTGATGTTATGGATGTTATGTATGTAAGCTTGATATTTAAACGATTTTTAAAAAATGTTCTATTTCTTCTAATTGATTTACTTTTAAATCGTTTTTACTTGACACGAGCTCCTGATAGACCAGTACCTATTAATTTATAAAAAATCGAAATTAATTTAACTATTTTTCAGTCATAAAGTACTTATTATACGTCCTACAAAACATAAAATTACTTCAACTTTTATTGTTCTCCATTGTTAAGAGGAAAAATAAAAGCTAAGGGAAGTCAATAATTCTACAGATAATATAAAAACACGTTTCCAAATACACAATAACATCGTTTTCAATAACTTCCACATAACAAACATCAAAAGCTTATGAAGTCATATTTTCTTTCGCTTATTTTTTCTTATGAAAATAAACTGAAAGCGGAAAAGTTATATACATTTTACTCTTTATTATTGTTTCCTGAAACATATTTCAAATGTATACAAGGAGATATATAAATGCTTATAGCCCCTGAGGGGTAGACAGAAGTGCAATCCCAGTCGGTAATCCTATCCGTAGCTGATAAAATCTATAGTAAGATTCATTCTACATCGTATATACATCTCTGTAGTCTTGTAACGATTTATAGACAAAACTTACCAATCATATAATGATAGAGAAACAAAATTAAAATTAAATATACCTACATTTGAAATTCTTATATTAGTTTGAATGAGGATTCTTAAACATGAAGTTGTGTCCATGATTGAAATACAATTTTCTCACACAATCGAACCGACTAAACTATGTGACGAGATAATTGTATTGTAAACCCGATTGAAAAAGAGTAACTTATGGAGTTTCTTGCTCGTTCTTCTCCATAGGAATCTGCACATTGGAATGAGCAATTAGCTAAATTTTTACATTTTTGTCGTTGACGTTCAAAAGTGCCTTCCTGTGTCTAATAAATGATTTTGAATTTGAATTTAACTTTGAAAAATATAGTGCTTTTTCTACCCGACTGTTTTTAACCAACTCCAATCGTACTCAATCAGGGGTCCTTGTTCAATATTAATTTCTGGAAACGATCGCACCAATCAATTAAACAGCTACCTTAAACATTTTCCAATATTTTCTTGTTAGCAACTTCTCAATAAACTGGCAATATTTCCCGACAATTCTTTCCTGCTTTTGTTTAGAAAAAGTACTTAATTAATCGCAACATTTTAATTAACCGAGCTCCTTGTTAGCTAAAAGTTTGAAAGAAAAAATTCTTAGCCTTAAGTATTTTATTGTTGAGAGGAAATTAAAAAGAATGTACATATTTCTATTTGAAATATTTTTTTGTTTGATAAACGTAGCGTTTTCGAATGGTAACTTTTTTTTAAGGTGGAAATATCATCGAATGACGCTGGGAACCTAAGAGTCTGCTCTTACTGACTAAAAACTACTCCGTTCCTACTTCTGCTCTTCGAGCCAGAGCCCCGGCAACCCGTTAGGCCTTCCGCTGGTCCGTATGGAATAATAACTTCGGTTTTATAATTAGAAGGTCTAAACACGTTACGCCCTGACCTTCCGCGAAGGCAATGGGCAAATATTAACTTATACCGTAATAAACTAATTTTCGCCCAATATTATTCTTATTTACTAGCTACTTCCGCGCAGTTTCACACGCTCTGCTCAGCTCCTATTGGTCGTAGCCTGATGTTTATTAGCCTATAGCCATCCTCGATAAATGCACTATCCAACACAAAAAGAATTATTCAAATCAGACTTGTAGTTACGGAGATTAGCGCGTTCAAACAAACAAACAAAAAAACAAAATCTTCCGCTTATATGTATAATAGTCTAAGATGAGATAGAGGCAACAAGCAGATTTGCTTGCCATGTCATTTAATGGTCAGAAATTAGTAAGTAACATATCAAATTGATTGGTGCTACAACGAAATTGGTACACTAACTAACTCCTAAAACATGGGATGAAAACGCTTCCCTCATTGATGATCTCACCAACAAAATCAATACGAATATTCTCACACGCCCTATTCATGTGTGACTTGTCGCGGAGAACCTAACGGGTAACCGGGGCTCCGGCTCGACGTGCAGGAGAAGGAACGGGGTGGTTTTTAGTCAGTAAGAGTCTGACACTCCCCCCCCCCGCCTCACCCAGGCGGGAGCAGTCATTCGATGATTTTCCCCCCTTAAAAAAAATTCATGTGTGACTTGCAGCTTGACAGCTATAAATGACCTATATTACTCCTAGTTTTACGTACCAACTTCCAATGAAGAGCTGATCTCATGGTTAACCGAATCCAATCCAAGCCTATCAGCTTAGTACCAATACCAGCACCACATATTGATGAAGTATTCCAAAGGTCCCTCAAAGGACGGACAAGGTTATCAAAGCTCTTTGCTACCGTTCGCAATGTAACGTAATAACTGACCAACAGCTGCTCATAAAGGTATACTAAAACGACAAAATTCGTCAATGGATTTTGAACTTTATTACTAGAAGATTAAGGTTGAAAATATGGTTTGACAGGGGGGAGTAGGTTGTTAAGCCGGTACTTATATATGGTAGCTTTGTCTATAGGCTCCTATCTAGCTATGAAAGGTTTCGTTCAACAAAGCAGATTAATTCATAAAGTGTTTATTTATAGTGGGTGCTCTATTTTTGCCTTTGTGCCTTTATAAGACACTGGTTTTAAAATTAAAACGCTTCAAACTATGGACAGGTAGAAACCCTGGTTTGTTCTAGAGATATAACTTTTTGGTGTTTCTTTTTAGGAACAATAGATGCTTATTAAGCCACGGAGTTAAATAGCAGGTGGACACACAACATAACATACATTACTGCCTTGTTGGCCGAGTGATCGCATCGCAAGTGCGACTGCCGAGCAAGGGGCCTCGGGTTCGATTCCCGAGTCGTGTAAAGTATTATTGGGTTTAAAAAATCCCAGTATTAGCACGGAGTCTGGAATTGTGCCCGGCAATAGGCTCACTATAGTGAAAAGTGGGTGTTACATTAAGTACCGTAATGCGCACCTCTGCCTACCACCTCGGGGAAGGTTAAGATGAAAGGCGTGATGTATGATGATGTTATATATATGGATACAGGATACATGACCTTGGTCTAAAAGTATCCATTAGATAAGATATTAGTTTCGAAATTTCCAATTTCTATCTCATCAGCCGATAACTTGTGAGCAATAGATTAGCAAAGACAAGAGTTTGATAATTTTGGCGATTGAAAACATAATTATTACTCACGTAATTTTTTGACGACGAACTCGACTAGTTTCAAGCTATGCTAAAGGCTCATACTCATCAGCATTTTATCGCGCTGCTATTGGAGTATAATCTATATACATATATAAAAATGAAACCCGTTTCCCGTTGTCACGCCATAACTTAAGAACGGCTGGACCGATTTGGCAGATTTTTTTTGTTGTGTTTGTTATTGTCAGGAGAAGGTTCTTATGATAGAAAAAAATCTTGAAAATCTTATGGGAGAGGCAGAAAACGAGATTGTGCGTACCAAGTCGCGGGCAGAAGCTAGTATAGTAAATAAATACGTGAGTAAGCCGAAAAATATAATAATTAATTTTGTATGTCTCACGGAAGTTTTAATTATAGGAAACCTCATCAATAAATACCCATTAATATTTTGTTCGACAAGACAAGTTCAAACCTTTTCTTTTCTCGAACTTTCTGCTTGTGATTATTGCACAAACAAAGCACTCTGTTAAATAAAACAAAAACAAAACAACAGACTTCCTACTCCACTAGTTGTATACTTCAATTAATTTGTATGCTGAGCCAACAAGATTAGCAGACAATAGGTCTTTTTTTTTTTTTTTTTTATTTTTTTTTTTTAAGGGGGGAAAATCATCGAATGACTGCCCCCGCCTGGGTGAGGCGGGAGGGAGTGTCAGACTCTTACTGACTAAAAACCACCCCGTTCCTTCTCCTGCACGTCGAGCCGGAGCCCCGGTTACCCGTTAGGTTCTCCGCGACTCCGAATCGGCATCGGCCCTATTGGGCCCCATCTGTGGTGGTCTGATGGCTCTTTGAGGCGCGCGCGGAACGCGACGCGCCGTACGCTCGGGTCTGTTTCTGGTCGGACGGGGAGCCACCCATGCTCGCCGTCCGCAGGCCCGCGCTTACGGTGGCCGGAGATCGTCCCGCGATCCCCGACGCCCGGTGTGTCCTTCGCGATGGCTGGGTTGCGAGGAGGCAGCGCTTCGCTGCCTCACGCGTCCCGCCTCCTCCTTAGCTAGCATGACTGCTTCGCAAAAGGAGGAGACGGCATCCCAATCCCCCTCGCTCCGCATCATGGCCTGCACTAGGCCCGGACGCGAGAGGTCGCCATCGCCGATCACTTCCCTGAGGACACGGCGGTGCTCAGCCCACGAAGGGCATTCTCCCACCGTGTGTTCCACCGTGTCCTCAGGGCGGTCCTCGCAGTGATGACACCCGGGCGTTTCCTCCCGCCCCATCAGACACAGGTACCTCCCGAAACTTCCATGTCCGGTGAGGACCTGCGTCAGGCGGTAGGTGAGGACGCCGTAGCGTCTCTCAAGCCACTCCTCAAAGAGGGGACTTACCGCTGCGATGGCAGCGAGCCCAGCCCTCGGTTGCGACAGTCGTTGCTGCCATTCCGCCATGAGATCGCGCCGGAGCTCATCCCGCCACGCACTTATCTGGCGCGGCAGCGGAGTTTCGCCCCGGCGACGTGCCTCCGCGCGCATGCTGTGCACGCGCGCGAGCACCTTCGCCTCCAGATCCCACGGCGGTAATCCGGCAAGGAGGTTCGCCGACTCCCCAGAGATCGTGCGGTATCCGCGGATCATTCGGATCGCCATGACCCTCTGTGCCATGAGCAGCGTCCGAGCGGGACGCCGCAACAGGTTCGGCGCCCAAACAGGGGCGCCGTAGAGGGCCATGGACCGCACGACCCCGGCGTATAACCTCCGGAGACAATAGGTCTAGAGAGGCTCCACCGAGACAAAGACTAGTGTGTGTAGCATATATTATAATTATATTAAAGAATATAGTATACTCATTGTATGTTAACGAGATAAAAATGTGGACGAAAAGTGAAGAGAGACACATGTAGTTATAGACAATACCTATTAAGTTAACATTAAGTACTACTTCCCATCTCTATTAAAGAGGTAGATAATGCGAAAATTAGCCAGTTTATCACGTCTATATGCCATAGTAAATAAACTAATTGCGATGAGTTTTTATTGAAAGGTAAATGAACACTTATAGAAGAGATTTTTTAACACCACTTAAACTGTCAAACACCAAGCGGTCACCGGTGACCGCAACCTATTGTTCTATAATTGTGTCTATAATGACGGTACTCGTCGAGTTAAAGAGTTTGATAGGCTTTTTGATTTCACATAAACAGCCTATAAATGCCCACTGCTGAGCAAAGCCTCTTATCACACGGAGAAGGTTTGAGCATTAATCATCACGCTTGCTGAATGCGGTTTGGCGATTTCAAACTTATAATTAGAAATTATAAGCCCAGGTTTCCACACAATGTTTTCCTCTACCGTTCGTCAGTGGCGTCTAAATAATCTTAGAATTAATCTTATTTACCGTTGGTTATTCATTGAATGTTATATAAAACATACAAATAACAATATGCCAACCTTTATGTCGTTCGTCAAAATTCTTTTTGCATGTTTAATTAAACTCATGAACACAGATATGTACATAATGTAGATATGTACATTATGCAGTGATTAATCATCAAGTTAAAACAGGTAGATGACCTAAACAAACAGAATGGCATCATCCTGATGACGCTCATGACGATGATGGTCCGTCATTATCAGGACATTCAACTGCACTTATTGGAATCATGATCGCAAGTGCTAATTTATTTATTACAAACTAGTCAATGCGGTTACCACCTGTAGGTATGTCAGTGTCATCATTTGAAATGAATTCATAATGATATCATCGATTCGAAGAATCGGTAAGTTAATAAATAAGGTCGATTTTCGCTCGGAACAATCTATTAATTGTAGATTATCTTACATACATTTTTAATCCTAGTTGCGAGCTGCAACTGTCTATTTGTCAAAGTTTTTGTGAACGCATTCACGAGAGTTAAGAAAATCCTGATACAAGTAACTTTTATTAAACAAAACATAATTACATAACACATAACATCACGCCTTTTATCCCCGAAGGGGATGTGCACATTACGGCACTTAATGGCACAGTACACTGTAACACCCACTTTTCACTATTTATGTTATGAGTCCCATGTAATAGGAGGTGAGCCAATTGCCATATACCGAGCACAATTCCAGACTCCGTACTACTACTGAGATTTTTTTTTAAATCCAGTAGTACTTTACTTACACGACCTGGGAATTTGAACCGAAACCCCTTGACCGGCAGTCGCTCTTGCGAGCAGTCGGCCAACCAGGCAGTCAGGCCAATTTGTGGATCACACAGAGTTGCCCCGTTGCACGGCAGCTGGCTGCCCAGCCACCGCATCAACCATGCAGTCAAAATCCTATTTTATATCTTATACTATTATATAAAACGGGAGAGTTTGTTTTTTTGTTCGTTTGTTTGAACGCGCTAATCTCCGTAACTACAAGTCTGATTTGAATAATCCTTTTTGTGTTGAATAGCGCATTTATCGAGGATGGCTATAGGCTATAAAACATCACGCTACGAGCAATACGAGCTAAGCAGAGCGTGTGAAACCGCGCGGAAGTAGCTAGTTATTAATAACATTGTAAGAAATGGACGTATTTTAGTACAAGTAGGCGTATCTATCACTACAGACCAGTATCATACCTTATGTATAATCACATCATCATCGTCTTGTGTTCGGGAAGGGGTGACAGCAGGAGGGTGGTAGTCCCTGTACCCTGTAGGGGAGGGGGTGCTTCGTTGTGCGGACTGCGCAGGCGCACGCAGCGTGTCGTCTTCAAACACGTCGTCACTCATACTGTCGTCTGTCGCCATTTGCTGTAACAAAACAAAATGGCGGACTGAGAAAAACGTAAACATTACAATCTATAAAATAGTGTTTACACAATATCGTGCTGGTTTTAAGCGATTTCTTTAATTGGGGTTGTATATTTGTTTTAGCTGAAAGAATAATAAAGATCCCCAATCTAACCAAAATTTAAGTGTGGGAGAGTCATGCTTCGGCACGAATGGGCCGGCTCGACCGGAGTGAGACCACGGCCTCACAGAAAACAGACGTGAAGCAACGCTTGCGTTGTGTTTCGTCGGCCGAGTGTGAGGTTACCGGAGGCCCAATTACCTTCCCCTTCCCCAATCTCCACAATCCCTGAATTCCCAACGATCCTCAAACTCCTAATCCCCAAAAAGCCGGTGACGCACTTGTAACGCCTCTGGTGTTACAGGTGTCCATGGGCGACGCCGATTGCTTACCATCAGGTGATCCGTCTGCTCGTTTACCGGCTTATGCCATAAAAAAAAAATAATTTTCTTTTCCTTCGCTACCTAATGCTTTCTGAAAATTTATGTTTATGATAATGTAATACAAGAAACAATTTTATTACAAAGGATTTCTAAGAACGGTTTAGTAGCCTGTCAGTTCAGTGACTTGCCCTCTAGGAACCTAGAGGGCACATGACATGACTACCTAGATACCTCTGCTGTCAGAAGCTTTATCTGAAGTCTGCTTCAACGCTGACAAGTTTCAAGAGTTATAATACGCTAATTTCTCATTATTAAGTACTTAAATTAAAAAATAGACAATGTTGTTTGTTACTAAAAATCGAGGGTTACTCACGTGAATATACTGAGAAAAGCTCTACTGGTTTATAGTGAATCTGCTGCGCGACGTGCGTCGCCTCGACCGCGCACGCGTGAGGAAGAACCCCTCTGTGGTTCGAAACTAGTAGAGCTGTTCTCAGTATAATCACGTGAGTAACCCGCAATTTTAGTTAATTTAGTATGTCTCACGATAGTTATTATATAAACAATGTTGTTTTTTAACATTATTTTACTTATATGAGTTACAATTCACTGCTAGACACGTAAGGGCCAGTAGAATACCGGCGCATGCGGAGCTGATTCCCAATTAAACGCAGACTTCACCCAAACCTGCAATATTTAACCATGTATTATGTAGGTAGGTACCACTACATTAGGTGTTTTTGCCATACCTATTATTGAAAGCACGTTTAACAGCTCATACATAGGACCTACTAAGGTTGTAGTCAAATTTCCGTGGTGCTTGGCGACTGGGCTTCTCCCAGCTGTGCAATCTCTTTTTATGCCTTTAGGCTTAATTCATTATGTATTCTGCAGTAATTCACCGTGGGAAGTGAAAACTATCATCTTCTTTTTCTCTTATTATAATATTTTCTGATTTATTTCGTTGCGGGGACCAAGATAGTTCCCTATCCCTACCTTTTTATGTCCCTGGGACGCGCCAGGCTTCAGTGTACCGGTTTTACCATGGTTGTATCTACTGTAGATCCTGGCTTACAGGAGTTGCAGCGGTTTTCGGAGGTTGTGGCGGGCTTGTCCCATAAAAAAGGTACCTCTACTTTACCTACTTACTATGCTTACTACCTACTCTGTGGTTGCCCATGATTTGTATGTTAATAAACGTCTTTTCTTTCAAACAAACAAAAATCATATTCCTTTTACATTAATGATATAGAAATAAGTTCTTCTATTCCCTGAAACTAGGTTCACGATAACAAAGTAGGTACTCTTCAAAACATTTCAGGTAAATAACATCTTATTTAAATGTACATAAAATTCGTTTTAAAGTGCACTCTTTGACCGTTTTCCTGTGAAGCGATGTGTACAATTTCTTTAGAAAAGTTGATGCTAAAGGAATATTGTACAAGTCTAGTTTTTGCTCAAAGGTTGAAGTTTTAATGAATGTAACGTAATACAGTGTCATAAGGTTGGATATCGATTGCATTATGTGAAATATATAGAATGCAATGTTGAGTAAAATTGATCGAGTAAAAATTATTATTATTAGAGAAAGGTGTGGATTGAAAGATGATGTAATGACAAGGATTGAAAAGAGAATGCTACGCTGGTTTGGACATGTAGGAAGGATGGATAAATTTAGAGTAACGAAAGAAGAATACAGAATGATATGACTGGGGTCGTCAGTAGAGGGCGCCCCGTACATATACACTAACCAGATTGGCGATATATTAAAGAATGGCCAAATTAAAAGTATCATTAACCGACGAGCATGCATGAAGACTGATGACTTGATGAAGCGAAAATTTCATAGTCTGTGCCTACCCCCATGGGAGACAGGCGTGAAGTTATGTATGTATATGTAAATCCTGCTATCATTGTATTTTAGGTACATTCCTAGCATACAATAATATTAGGTAAGGTAGCCAAATGAATACTGCCAAAAATGAAAAACCTTATTAAAATTTTCAACATAACATTTTTAATTTTTTTTTGGAGCTTATATTATTTTCGAGCCCAATTCGTTTGATTTATTCATCAAAATTGCTGCTGTTCCCCTCAAAATTTGAGAACTTCAAAAGAACATCAATGTTTGAGGTGTAATTATAAAAATATTCCTGTTTGAAGGGGGAAAAGGGAAACGTGCTGGCTATTTTTAAAATGTAAAATAAAAGTCGAATATATATAAAACATAGCTGTAGTTATTGTATTTTTATCCGTAAAACCATGATTGGATCGTATTCTGTTAATGAAAGGTGGAGGTTTCAACGGAAATAAAGTTCAATAGGTAAATAATATATTTTGGTTTGTTTTTGATAAAACAAATCCGAAATCATTTTTTACTCATTTAAAAATTACTTAAAACATAAAAAAACTGTTCAAGGTAAATCCTCCGCTAACGCCGGTCATCGGTGATGATCCCCATGGCGTTTAACGTGTTAAAAAGCTGTTAATATAATAATGTGTGTATATAGCATAGATATAATAATGTGGTGGCAATGCTGATATAATATCTATGCATTATACATGCTTGTACCATTTGATCAAAGATGCATAGTCACTAGTTTAACCAAAGTAAAAAATGAGATTCTAAATACAGGTATCTTTATGGGATAAGTCGGTAAATGAGCAAGTGGATCACCTGATGTTAGCAATCGGCGTCGCCAATGGACACCTGGAACACCAAGTCGTTACAAGTACGTTACCGGCCTTTTGGGGATTAAGAATTTGAGGACTGTTCGGGATTCAGGGATTAGGAGGGAAGCGTTGTTTAAGTCGGTTTTCTGCAAGGGCGTGGTATTTCTGCCGAAGCATGGCTATCCAACACTTAAAATAATTATATGTTTTTTTCTAAACTAAATTAAACAATATTTACCTGACAATAAGTAACTATTTAGTTTGAAGAAACAGTATTTCGAGCAATGCTCCTAGAAATAAAACGTCTACAAGCGTTAAATAACTGGGGTCGTCAGTTAGATACAGCTGAAGAGTTCTTAGAAGAAGATTCAAGTTTTCAAATGAAAATTGTATTTACTGAAATGTTTATTTTCCTTTAATTTACATTTAAATTACTAAGAAATTGTAAGTTTTAATCATATTAAAATATACATTACGTCTTCATTGGCTGTTTTATGAAATAGGACTTTTGCTATTGATTGTACGATTGTTGGTCGTAGCTGGGCAGCCGGCAATTTAGATTGGGACCAAGTTTAAAAACAAAGGATTTTATTTTATTTCCTATGCATCTGTGTAATAATCTGAAACTATTAAGCAAGGACTTCAATTGGATTGTCGGGTCGCCAAAAAATATTTTTTGAGATAGGTATCAATTATTCAATTTTGATCAATATTATGAAAGTTCGTTCCTATCATTTTACAGATACATCTACAGATAACCATATAACACATGACCTATATCTCTATAAACAGATTAATCTGCGACTCAAAGACGTACGTCTAATTGGATCATTCCCGTCTTCCAACTTGGTAATATCCTTACACAAAGTACCTACAAAGTGCTGAATATCAGCTTATAACTGAATCTCTGAGCTTCAAAAGCATATACTATTCAGTATGAGTTTGTACACATCAATCTATACAAAACCAGTATAACTTGACCGTTAAAAGTTCGAAAAGATCATACAAAGCGGGACCTGTGTTAAACTGGTTTTCATAGCTGGATGTGTGGCCTTGTGTACGCTAACGTATAAAGGTCTTTAGAATATTGCTAGGTATACCTAGCGTCTCACGATCGATAGATCTATTTCGTTTTCGTCCTGCATCAAAAAAACTTGCCATAAGAAGTACTATCAATGTATAAAGTAAAAAAAAAGAAATATGTAATTTTTTCGTTAAAAAAAAAATAATGGAAATACGCACATGAAACAGTAGACGTAAATTTGTGGGCACTATTCGTATCCCACGTGCCATCCCACGACAAAAACCTCTTCGAGAATTACACAGCTTGATGTTCTGATTATGTATTATGAGTTCGTATATGCTTTCGAAGTTTGCTTTTTGCAATGGTGCACCAGTTATTTTTTTTCTTTTAAACATTTTATTTCTTTGTCAAACTATTGTATTACCAAGATAGAACCGATTTACTTCGGAACTAAAGCGAAATAGATTTCACGGTGTACCTATATGAGGAATTAAGTACTGGTATTAACCAGTACTTAATTAAGTACTGACTTCGAACTGGGACGACTGGAAGTATTAACTTCTCCACAAACTGTTCCATGAAATGGTTGTAGTACTGATTACAAAGAAAGAAAGAAAAATTGTTTACTCACACCGTAAAAAATAAAACAAGAAGTAGTATAGTAAAAGTGTGCACGGCGCAAAAATGTTGCTTTTGCTTTAGTTCTGCATCCTAGGCGATTGAGACAGGTATTGAGGCTTCTTGTAAGTCTACATCTAGAAGAAACCCAATCATTCAAACTTGGGAGATTCGGTCGGGTTAATGCATAAACAGTCACGACCAAGTTCATCTTATCTGCATTATAATGTGATTTTAACGTTACTGTGTTCAGAATTTAATT